CTATTAAATGTGTTTGGGGAAAAAAGCGGCTAGATTGGCATGGATGCTTTTCCGCAAAAGCACTTTCTGCAGAGAAGCGTCCGTGCCAATCTAGATGCGCTTTTGCGCAAAAAAGCCCCAATCGCCATTTTCATGATTGGGGCTTTTTTGCGGAAAACAAATCTGAGCTGTCTACACTGGCCCTTTTGCGCAAAAGCTTTGTGCAAAAGGGACTTTTGCCCGAACGGGAGCAGCATAGTATTTCCGCAAGAAGCACTGATTTCTTACATGAGAGAAGCGTCCGTGCCAATCTAGATGCGCTTTTGCGCAAAAAAGCCCCAATCGCCATTTTCATGATTGGGGCTTTTTTGCGGAAAACAAATCTGAGCTGTCTACACTGGCCCTTTTGCGCAAAAGCTTTGTGCAAAAGGGACTTTTGCCCGAACGGGAGCAGCATAGTATTTCCGCAAGAAGCACTGATTTCTTACATGAGCTCGTCAGTGTTCTTGTGGAAATTCAAGCAGCCAGTGTAGACAGCTGGCAAGTTTTTCCGCAAAAGCAGCTGCTTAAGCTGCATTGGTTGCACTGAGTTAGATGCTATGCTCAGTTTTCATTTACAGCCAAACGAGGACTTTTCTTTTGGGTGCATCTACACAGCATCCGAAACAAAATAAGCCACACAATTGGTGTGATGCAAATTGCTTAGCTCATTTTGCTCCAAATTTTGAAATACAGTATTATTTTGATAGAAATGTAGCCGTGTTAGTTGATCTGAGGAAGTGGGTCTGGCCCACGAAAGCTCATCATCTAATAAACCATCTTGTTAGTCTTTAAAGTGCTATATTGTCCTGCATTTTGCTTCAGTATTATTTTGAGGTATCCTTCATTCATACAATGAGGTTTACAGGGATGGTGAAATAGCAGACGTGGAGTAGCTATTTTGGGATACCAGAGGGCTTCTTTGGGATACTGGCGGCTTCTTGCACAAAAGAACATCTTGCGCAAGTGTTCTTGTGCAAGAAGTCTCGCACAAGAAAATGTCCACACTGCCATGTGCAAGAGCGCCCATGGCAGTGTGGATGCGCTCTTGCGCAAGAAAGCTCTGATGGCCATTTTAGGCATAGGGCTTTCTTGCGCAAGAAATCCCTGCCAAGCGTCCACACTGCCCTCTTGCGCAAGAGTTCCTGTGCAAGAGGGCTTACACCTGTTAAAAAAGAGCATAGCTCTTGCGCAAGGAGCCCTCTTTTACCACGCCGTACTGTAAATTTACTTGCGCAAGAGCGGGCGGGCAGTGTGGACGCTCTGCAGATTCTTGTGCAAGAACGGCCATACTTGTGCAAGAAGCCGCGAGTGTAGACCTAGCCTTTGAGAGCTCCCTTTGGAGTCACTTTCAGAGTCGTAGCATTGCAAGGGGCTCACGAGCACTGTTCCCTCTAATCTGTTCCAGCCATGTGCAGAATAATCTTTAATGTGCACTACCAGTAGAAACACTAAATCTATCAGTGGAAGCTCTGCTAATCAGCTAGGCGCCCTTTGAATCACTCCTGAGCAGCCATACAAACACCCAGCTTACAGGGAACACTGCTTGCAAGGTCATCTAGGACAAACACCAAACTGGTTAACAACAACAACAAAAATCAATCTACTGGGAATTTTTGACATTTCAGAATTTCTTTTCATCCCTGGTTGGAGAGATCAAGTAGAAGACATAAGAATAAAACACAAATTATACTGCGTCAGACCAAAGGTCCATTTTAGGGATGTGAAAGAGTAGTCGAGTAGTTGACTACCCCATAAGCAGGAGCTTATTGTGTAGTACTATCAACTACTTGATCACTCCCTCTTCCCTCCCTTCCCCCGGCCGCACTGCACTCTTAAAGGGACAGAGAAGAACCAGCATGCAAAGACGTTAGCTCATTCTCTTGTGTCCCGTTGTCCCCCCTCCCCAGGTTGTCTCAGGACAACCCTCACACTGCCACTCTGCATTTTTAAAGGGACAGAGCAGCAGCAGCCTGTCTGCTTGTCTGTCTCAGCACAAGCCGGCTGCTGCTGCTGTGTCCCTTTAGAAGTGCAGAGGGGCAGTGTGAGAGGAGTCATGGGGCGGAGGACTGCTGCTGCTGTGTCCCTTTAGAAGTGTATAGGGACAGTATGAGGAAGATGAGAGGGGGTAGCTGCCACTGCTGTGTCTCTTTTAAAAATGCAGAGTGGCAGCTTGAGAGTTGTCCTGAGACCCGGCAGGGGACCAGAGAATGAGCCGGCATCTTTGCACACTGGCTCCTCTCTATCCCATTGTTAGTCCATCTAGCCCAGCTCTCTTCTGACAGTGACCAATGCCCGGTGTCCCACCTGAAATGAACAAAATGGGTAATCATCAAGGGATCCATCGCTGATCATCCAGTCCCAACTTCTGGAAAATAGAGATTAGGGACACTCTCCCTGTCCATCCTGGCTAATAGCCATTGATGGATCTATCCTCCAGGAATTTATCTAATTCTTTTTTGAACCTTACTATAGTCTTAGCCTTCATAACAGCCTTTGGCAAGGAGTTCCACAGGTTAACTGTGGGAGGTGGGGGGTAAAGAAAAGACAGCATGACGCAGTCAAGGCTAATTTGGGGTGTATTAACAGGAATGTTCTACACAAAACAAGAAGGCTGCATCTAGACTGGCATGATTTTGCGGAAATACTTTTAATGGAAAAGTTTTTCCGTTAAAAGTATTTCCTCAAAAGCACGTCTAGATAGGCACGGATGCTTTTGCGCAAAAAGTGTTTTTGCGCAAAAGCATCCATGGCCAGTCTAGACGCAATTTTGCGCAAGAAAGCCCCGATCACCATTTTAGCCATTGGGGCTTTTTTGCGCAAAACAGTTCTTCCCTGCCTACACTGGCCCTCCTGCGCAAGTATTCTTGCACAAGAGGGCTTTTTCCCGAGTGGGAGCGTGAAAGTATTTGCACAAGAAGCACTGATTTTGTACATGGCCAGTGTAGACAGCTGGCAAATTTTTGTTCAAAAGCGACTGCTTTTGCGCAAAATCTTGCCAGTTTAGACGCACCCGAAGGGTGTCGTTCAATTCTGCTCTGGCCTTGTTCAGTCCTCAACTCGAGTATGATATCCAGGGCTCAACAAATAATGCAATCTACTCGCCCATGGCGAGTAGATTGCAACCTGGAAGAGCCGGGTTTGGGCGATCTGCATGCACAGATCACCGGACAGCACAGCTGGCGAGCGGGGCTCACCACGGTTCGGCAAGCCCTGATGATGTCCAATTCTCAGACTCGCCCTTTCAAAAAGATGTGACCAAAACTGGCAAGAGGCCAGAGGAAAGCAGCAGAAAGGAGTAAAGATTTAGGAAAAGCTGACACATGAGGAAAAGTTAAAAAAAAAAAAAAGTTGGATGTGTTTCATCTTGAAAAAAGGGAAGGGGGAAATCAGAACAGTCTTCAACTATGAGAAGGGCTGTTTTAAATAGAATAGGGGTCAATTGTTCTCCAAGTCCACTAGAAGTAAGCCAAGGAGTAATTTAGGTTAAATATTAAAAAACATGATCCAGGGGTTGTTAAGAATCAGGAGTAGCAACAGCTCTCCAAAAGGTCCTTCCCCCTGGACCATCCCTTCCAAGGGCACGTCCCACACTCCCCGTTCTTTCAACGCCCACATCCTGTGCCATCCTGCCCCCGCCCTGTCAGCGAGGTGTGGGGAGTCACCAGGCCCTGCACCGCCATCAGCAGTCAGATGTGACTGTCAAGCAGCAGGTTGAAACTTATTAGTTGTCAGAGACACAGAGTAGAACAGACTTATCAGCGCAGAAACCAGAACCACTCACCCTCATCTCTGCACCCCCACGCCAGAGACTAAATCACATACTCAGCCTGCCGCAGCCCTGCAGCCAGCTCCACCTCTAGCCTTTGTCCAGCTTCCTGTTGGTTACACCTCCTCCGAGGCTTAGGTTACAGAAAGCACCAGCTATTGTACAAGTGAGGGAGACACTCACACTGAAATTCCCATCACCATATAAGTCAGGGCTACTCAACATGCATGTGGTCCGTGGGCTGTGTGTGGTCTGTGGCCCATTTCTTTGTGGTCTGTAGTGTGGTTTAGGTTTACGCGGGGCTCAACACATGGCCTGCGGATGGGAGCCAAAACAAAAAAGTAGTAAATATAATGGTCTTCTGTTAATATGCA